AAAGCTAGGACCACCCCGCGCCTTATATGCGTGAAATTAGTGCAAAAGAAATTTTCGAACTTCAAGAAATTCTTCTAAAAAGCTTGCCTTTGCTCCAGGTATCGGTTTGAAACGCATACGATTTGTGTATCTTTTTGTTGGCTGCATACCGCCCAGTTCTTTACACATTTGTGAATAAGAGTAGTACTTCAGATCTAGCAAACCATATATTCCTTTGATGAAAAGTTTAGCTATTGGCTTCAGAACCACTCGACTCGTTAGAATAAGTACTACACCTAAAAGAAAGAAAAAGAAATTTCCTCGCGTTGTACGAAAAAAAAACGGCTATACCTATGACAAAACGCAAAATATACTGTTGAAGAGGAGCGTTCGGATCTGATTCAGCCAAGCTTACAGAGCTCTCTGGACCGCCAAGGTGGAAGATTCGCCCACCCCACACGGCTGCAGTTCCGGGTAGAACACACATTACCTGGAAAGGGGGTGGTGTTGCGGTCAATGAAAAGGACTTACTGGGTGGAAGAAACCTAAGATCATTTCTGTGTTGAAGTCATGATTTGATATCTAATGTTTGTGTGGTACCAGATCAATGCACATTTTCTTAACGGTTCCGCTGCTTCCGCTCTGTCAGGAGCCCCAATAATTTATCCTTACCAAAGACAATCTTGCTGACATGGAACCTGCGGAACTTTTTTGGACCTGAATGATATGTACCGAAAGTTCAAAAGTTGAAAATGAAAGAGATCAAGACGTTTTGATGGCTTCCTACTTTTATAACCTAAACTACACAATTTTTTCATAAAAGATTAGAGATTCTCCGTCAACTTTATAATCAAAAGAGAGTGTTAAGCAGCTGCAAAGAAGAAAGAGATACTCTTCCTCCCCCCACCCTCCATAGACAGGCGCCAAATTTTCCTTTCTAAGCATGAGATTTACCTCTCCATAACTCTGTGTTTCTGGCCATGCTCTTGGATGTATCCATATAAGGAAGAGTATAGCAGAATAGATGTAGATGTAGAAGGATAAATCCGATGAAGAGTTGCGCTCGTAAGCATCATAGAGCTTATCAGAGAATCCACCTAAAACGAGA